GAAAAATAGTGAAGAATAGAAAATTGAAGAATACCTTTGAAATAAGACTTTTACAAGGGAAAAAACCAAGAACAAATTGAAGCGGAACTAACCAAGTAATGATCATGTAGGTACTTGAAGGCGCCTTTAGTTTTTGCCCAAAGATAATCACGACCCTCAGATATGTTCAAGTTTATAGCTGGCAGATTGGGATCAGCTTCTGATGACATGAATACGTAACTGTAAAATATGCATTACACAAACAAACCATATATTCAATTCCAAAAGAAGACTCACTTATTACAACGCTTGGCCCAGGTTGCCTTAACATGAATGGCTCTTTTTTCGTGATTCTGCTTGCCGGTAAGTATCCAGCAGAATACTCGAACTTGTTCGGCAATTATATCGGCGACAATGCGCTCGCCTGGAGTTGTTTGAAATGAAGAAGATTCGAATATATGTTGGAAAAAAATGATTAGAAGAAGTATCAGTAAAATAAAAAAAGGATCAACAAACTTATATGCTTCGTATCCAAAAACATCGTTAAATAATAATAATAATAAATAGCGAATCATATTCCCGCGATCCTAGTTATAGGCTCAAGCAAGAAAATGCCTCTCAGCATATAAATTCAAGATGATAAAACACACCGTGGTGGTCGTGATCAGAGCCATTTGCGTGGAATTCGATAGCTTCTCCAGGCGCTTCTTCGTCGTCCACTTCTCCTTCGTCGTGTGCGTCATGGTGGCTATGCCTATGTGCCCGCACTGGGGCTATGGACATCGAACTTCCATACTGTAATGAGATCAATGTCAGATGAGCCAGTTGTCTTTCCTTGGTATCATTCAATATTTACATCAGAAGAGGGAGAAAATCAAGTGTTGATATATTAATTTATGGAAGATTAAGGTTAATTAGGTTGTTGTACTTCATTGTTCTTAGTCTATCAAAGTGAGTAGTTCGGACACACCACTTTAGAGGAAAAGTTTCTCAGGATAGTCTCAACTAAGTATGACCGAAACAGGA